TCTCTCTCTCTCTCTCTCTCTCTCTCTCTCTCTCTCTCTCTCACACACACACACACACACACACACACACACACACACCATAGCTTGGTAGTTTCATGTCTTCTCTAACATTTAATACAATTTTGCCTACAAAGATATATGAGCCTGACATGAAATGGGATCACTGATGCCTTCTTGTCCTTCCCCTACTCATTTGAATATATGCTCTAGCTGTTCTGTAACTCATTCATTCCTCCTCTGTTTCCCTGTATGACTTCATGACTTCTATCATGATGCTAAAATATACAATCATGGTCAGAATCTGTCTCCTGAAATAGTCTCCTTCACATGCCCACTCATTTTCCGTCTGCTGAGCCTGCCCCTTCTAAAGGCCTTATCTGTCCATGTAACTTCAGTTATGTTGCTCTTCACTTAAAATCACCAGATGGTTATTTTTATCTCATTTTGCTTTCACATGAACTCTCAAATTACTTGGCATGGTGTGAACAAGCTATATAAATCAGTATTGTCTGTCCAAACTTATATCTAGCTTATTCTTTCACTACCCAGGAACTATCTATGAGTCTCTAAATCTGTTCCTTTTTCATGCCGCCCACTCAACTTAGATGAGTTTTATCTATCAATGTCCTAATTTTTACTGGTCTCTTATTTAACCTCAATTACTGTCTCAACCAGGAAGGCTTCTTGACCTCAGGATGTTATTTGTCACCCATATAACATTGCCTCATGTCCTTATCATTACATTCACTTTATATTTAAAACTACTTCATATATATATTCAAGTAAACTCATTCAAAACTTATTTTTCCTTTAAATTTCTGTGATCTTGATGCTATGCATATTTTTTGACCCATCGGACATAACCAAAGTTGTTTGTTGAATCAATGAACCAAATAATTTAATTTAAACTAGAATGTTTTTAAACAAATAGGAGAAAAAGATACTGAAAGAAATTATGGAGAGCAATTTTTAAAATCTGTTAGAGCCATGTGTATGGTGATATCTTAATTGTACTGAAATGTGATTTTATTTGTATGTTAATAAATAAAGTTGCCTGGTAGTCAGAGCTAATAGCAAGCCATAGCAGAAACTGGGCAGTGGTGGTACACGCCTTTAATCTCAGATATTGGGAGGCAGAGCTAGGTGGATCTCTGTGTGGTGAAGGATACAGCCAGCATGGAGACACACACATTTAATCTCAATACCAACTATAGAAGACTTGGAAGTCTGTACAGACAGGCAGTGACGAGGAGGTCATGTGTTTGGGTTTACAATCAATGAGAAGGCAGAATAGAATGTCTATAAAAAAGACAAACAGACAGGAAGTAGGTCTCTTGCTGAAGAGGACAACAGCAGCAGTGAAGAGTAAGGTTTTTAGCTCTGACTTCTTGGGCTTTCATCTCTGCATTGGCTCTGTGTTTCTTATTTAACAAGACCGTTAATTTACAGATGTGTATCACTGAAGCTCTGTGATTTCAGCATGGGGAGGTGAAGGCAAGAAGATGCAGAGTTAAAAAAAGCATCTTCAGCCAGGTGTGACAGCCAAGTCTTTAATCCTAGCACTGCGGGTAGGAGGGCAGAGGCAGGTGGATCTCAGTGAATTCCAGCCTTGCTAGGCTTACAGGATAAGATCCTGTCTTAAACAACAACCAAATTGACTGAATAAACAACAAAATTAAGTGATTAGAAATGCATCAAAACTGATAAATTGTGTTGTATTCATGGAGCAAAGAGGTCAGGTTTATTCTTTGTGGTTCCAGCAGTATTGTAAGAAGCTGAGTACTTGAAGTGCACATGCATAGCACATTTACTAACTAGCTTGCCCATTGTATATCCTGCTTAATGGAGATTTTTGTTAAATATTTGTATGACTTTAAAAAATTAATTTTATTTTATGTGTGTGAGTGTTTTGCCTGAATTTATGTATTGCACCATGTGTATTCAGTGACTTTAGAGACCAGAAGAGCATGTTGACCCCACCCCCTGAAACTAGAGTTATGGATGGCTGTGAGTCACCATGTGGATTTTGTAAACCAAGCCCAGGCCCTGCAAGAACTGTGCTCTTTACTACTGCAAGAACTTCAAGAACAAGTCCTCTCAACCACTGAACCATCTTTCCAGACCATTGAATGACTCTTGAGTGTTTGGAAGTCAATCTAAAAAAATGTTCAAACTATAAACAGAAGAAAGAGCAATCTACCCAATCTAAGAAGCCCACTGAAATTTTAATACTGAGACTACATACAAATTTCATCTTTGTTCTTTTTGTAAGTTGATCAATACATCTGGAAGAATTTGACTATATACATCTTGTGTTTACTACATGATGTAATAACAATTATTTTTGTTAAGAAAAGAGTTTAGGGGGCTGGAGAGATGGCTCAGTGGTTAAGAGCACTCACTGACTGCTCTTCCAGAGGTCCTGAGTTCAATTCCCAGCAACCACATGGTGGCTCACAACCACCTGTACTGAGATCTGGTGCCCTCTTCTGGGCTGCAAGGACACATGCAGACAGAACACTGTATACTTCATAAATAAAAATCAATCTTAAAAAAGAAAAAAAAAAGAAAAGAGTTTAGTAAGGAAATACAAGTACTCTCAACTCACTGATTGTAAGCAAACTAGCTCTTATAAAAGTTATTGAATGTATTAATCTGCATTATACTTATTCATGGTATTTCTGTATAATTATAGCAGTATACTGTTTTATGTGTCATAAAGGCAGAAATATAAGATACTAAGAAAGTCTTTATCATAATCACTATTAATTATCACTAATACCCATAATCACTAGAATGTCTATAGAATGTCAAAACTTACAAAGGATCAGCAACTGTAACATTGTTTCTTATCTCATTCTAGCCATAAAATAGTATATATCATACTCACACAGATATCCCAAGACTACATTTGACATCAGAAGACAAAGACATACTGTTCCCAGGATGATAGCAGTCACGAGCCATGGACAATCTACATAAGATCAAAAGGTAAGATATATAACAAACATAGTATGATCTCACCATTAGCGCAGAATGGATGTTTATACCTGAGGTTAAAAAATTAAGATCAGTCCACTCACTGGCTATTTACTCATAAATATCTTTTTAAATAATAGAAAGAGCCACATATATAACATATATTTTAAATAACATATAGCATAACACATATACATATATAACATCAAATATATGTGAACATAATTAGTATGAGCTCATGTTTTTCATATTGTGTTTTCAATACCACACACATACACACATATACAAAGGCAGAAAAAGGTTACCTCTCTTTTCCTTAATTGGCTGGTTTTTGTCCTTCTTACTTTTAAGGGATAATGTCAGCTCTGCATATGCTGTTCTTTCCTCACTCATTTCTGATGGCTGCAAACAAGAGCACAGAAAACATCCTTACCAGTATTTCCCAAGGCATAATTAATATAATTAATATTACTACTAAATCATGTAGTAGTAGTGAGCTGATGAACAAGAAGAATGATCTGGAAAAAGTGAATTTCTCCATGAATATAAATGATTTTTAAAAAATTTTCTCTGTGACACCTTAGATCAGAAATTAAACATAATTAAATAATAGTCTGTGACAGTTATCAGATATGTTATTTTAAGCTATCTGACAATTTAACTCTAATAGTTGCTAAAAATTAGGAATTGAGGTACATCATCTCCAGACACTGAGATTTATGTATTTTGTTGAAAAATTATATCTGATCACTGAATGACTGAATTAACTCCAAAGGCAACAATTATAGACTTTGTATAGAGTCAATTTTAGCAAAGGCACACTGTTATATAAACTCTATTATTGCATTATATTAAACCGTCTTTTATTTTCCTATCTTGTAAATTTGTAGTAACAGAACTTCATGGTCCTTTTCTTTTTTTTTTTTGTTTGTTTGTTTGTTTGTTTTCTGAGACAGGGTTTCTCTGTGTAGCTTTGAACTCACAGAGATCCGCCTGGCTCTGCCTCCCGAGTGCTGGGATTAAAGGCGTGCGCCACCACCGCCCGGCTAAGGTCCTTTTCTTACAGTATGAGAAAAATAAAGAAATCATGACATTTATGGCAAAGTAGCCAAGAGAACAGCTCCAACTATAGTTCTAACAACAAACACAGTGATAATAGCTCTTGCTTTGTTTCATAGATGGGGAAACTGAACCTCAAGGAGTCCAAATGATATTGCCTTGATCAGACAGCCAATTATTGACATTCCTTAGTTTGTATAGATATACATAAATCCAAAAATCTTCTTCTCCTTCTCCTTCTCCTTCTCCTTCTCCTTCTCCTTCTCCTTCTCCTTCTCCTTCTCCTTCTCCTTCTCCTTCTCCTTCCTTCTCCTTCTCCTTCTCCTTCTCCTTCTCCTTCTCCTTCTCCTTCTCCTTCTCCTTCTCCTTCTCCTTCTCCTTCTCCTTCTCCTTCTCCTT